TGGACCTGTAATGCCGTCCAAAGGGTGGCAAAGAGTCAGATACAACTGAAGTGACTTAGCACATGCGTGTGTGCGCACACACACACACACATGCATATATTACACACAGAAGTACACTTTTGCACCACACACTGCATTCCTGTCTCTGACCACCGAGAGGACCTGACCCCAGTGGTGTTCTGATTCAATGAACACATCTAGCGTCTGGCTCTTGGCATGTGGATACTATTCTCTGCTGAAAGGAACCAGGAATTCTTAGAGGTAATGGTTGCTTCCTTAGCTGGGGCTGGGAAAATCCAAGATGGGTGTGGAACAGTGAATATCAAGAGCCTGGGAAATGTTCATAAGCTTTAAGATAGAAATTCTTTTTTTAGGAAACTATCCTAAATGAAATCACTATAAATGCTGAAAAAATTTTAGCCATAAATATGCTCATTACTTTATTGTGTGTAATAAGCAAAATTGGTAAGCAAAAAGCAATAAGCAAAAAAATAAGCAAAAAGAATAAGGTAAGTGACACAAAATAGTAATGAATATTCACTGAATTGGATGTTATACAGACAATAAAATCAAGTATATGAGAATGCTTATATTATAATGTTAAATTATAAATGGAGCATCTGGATTCAGAATGAGTGAAACATCTAACCCAGGTCTGGCTCTTCCTTGCAACTTTCTAGAGCCCCTTCTGCTACATCTCATGTACCCAAGTATATATCAATGCCTTGAATTGTGGTTAGATTCTTGCTGTTTCAATATCTTGACTTTTCTGCTCTCAAAAACCATCTACCCTCTTAGGTTTATACCATTTAGCCAAACAACTCTCTACCTCTCCACCTACCACGGTCATCTTTTTGTCATTGTCTCCACCTGCCCTCTGGGCTTCCTGGGTGGCTCAGTGGTAAAGAATCCACGTGCCAGAGCAGGAGATGTGGGTTCGATCCCTGGGTCGGGAAGATGCCCTGGAGAAGGAAATGGCAACCTAGGCCAGGATTCTTGCCTGGGAAATCCCATGGATAGAGGAACCTGTCAGGACACGGTCCATGGAGTCACAAAAAAGTCAATTTAGCAACTAAACAGCAACACTCCCCCTCATTCATGGAAAACCAGGGCACCAGTTTCCCACAATTCCTCTCTTTGCCAAGTCTCACATGTCCTAGGGAGCATCTCTGTACACACAGACAGTGCATCATGGTCTCTCATTTTACTTAATTTACATCCCGGAGCCAGGGTTGTTCTTCCCTTCTAATTTAATTTAGCAATCTGATGCCAGGCCCTTTGGACCTCATTATTACACAGTACTGATCGGCTTTGAAATGTTAAACTTCCAGACTCCACCATAAAACAGTTTTTCTGCTCTTTACTTGGCAACTGCAGTTTTCTTATCCCTCTGTCCTAATGCATCCATCCTGTTATTCTGAATCTTTGGATAGCTAGTAATTAGCAACCTCCTAAGACTTAGGTTAAGTGGCAGTTTTTGAATAGCAACCTCGTTAAACATCCTCAGCCTGGCCAGATCCCATGCAATCTTCCTCTTCTGTTAAGTTGTGAATGAAAGATCTGGTTTTTAACTCAAGGTTTGAACATCAACAAACAGTTCTCTTTTATTACATGAGTCATCATGTTAGTAAAATGCTCTTACCTCAATGTTTCTATTTATCTAGGAGTTAAAAAAAACACTTTATTAATAAAAAATAAAGTAAAATAAAAGAATGTAAATAAAAAGGATTTGGACTTGAAAAAAAAAAAGCTCGGATACTCGAAATGATACAGGAAAGCACATGTTGTCAGTCAAGGTTCTCACTTAACCCAGAAGGCCCTATAAATTCTTGACAGTCCCACAAAGAGAGGAAAGAGGTTACATTCTGTTCAAAAGAACTTTCTTGTATTTTGAAAGATCTTAGTTCTTTGAAAATTAATAGTCTCGAAACGATAATTTCTGTTTAGTTTGAGAAAGCCTGCTAAGGAGATTAAAGAACCTTAGTTCTCTGACTGTTCTGATAAAGCATTGTTCCTGGGTTTTCAAAATTACAGTGATATAACCAATCATTTGTTTATTTGATGTTGTGTGTAAACTTGCTCTTCAGATTTAAGGAAAATAACATTCAAAGCAAGGTTTGAGGCTTATGTTCATGGATTGCAACAACTAATGCGTTTCTTGTGGCTGCTGCTGCTGCTGTCACTTCAGTCGTGTCCAACTCCGTGCGACCCCATAGACAGCAGCCCACCAGGCTCCTGCATCCCTGGGATTCTCCAGGCAAGAACACTGGAGTGGGTTGCCATTGCCTTCTCCAATGCATGAAAGTGAAGTCGCTGAGTCGTGTCCGACCCTTCGTGACCCCATGGACTGCAGCCCACCAGGCTCCTCCATCCATGGGATTGTCCAGGCAAGAGTACTGGAGTGGGGTGCCATGGCCTTCTCCAGTGCCTTGTGGAACTATATGCATTTAATGGATTCTCTCGAAGATTAGGGTGACTCAGTTGATGTTCTTTAAAATACAACTGCTTTGGGTCATTTTACAAGATCGCCTCATTTCTTAATGTTTGTCTGTCTTTTACTTTATTACTTGTTCTATTTATATTTCCTTATTTGTTGTGCCTCTTAAAAAGCTGTATATATGAAAATCTCACCAGTACTAATCCTTTTAGGCATGAAGAAAAATTATCTGTAGAGAAAGTAAATAAATTCTTCATGAAGTAAATAAATTCAGGAAATACATTCAACCCAGTAAATGACTCGATTATCTACCTGATGTGATATATAATTTACTCATTTTCCAGATCATCAAATTCAGGGTCGGAGAGATGATTTGCTTATGGTCACATAGGTAGGAAGGGATGGAGTGATGACCCAAATGTATTCCTCCTTTCTCCTGGCCCAGTGCTCCTGTGGGAGAAGACACAGAAGTGGTAGAGGGACTTATATTGCAGACATGATCAAGAAACAAAAAACAAAGTAAAATCATAGATTAGAAAGTATATCTAATGGCATCTTTGGTATTAGCAATGGATCCTCCTTAGGGCATTCTTCAAAGACTTAAAATATAGTTTAATAGGTAAAAAATAAATATACACTTTTTTTTAAAAGAGAAGTCTCTACTCTAATTGAGTAATAAAATATTAGAAAGGCTAACTATGGCCTAAAATGATGATATCCAGTGAGGACAAATTCACTGTTTCCATAATCTTGTCCCAAGAACTCAAAGAGTTTATCTAGTATTAGTTTGCTAGAGCTGCTATAATGAAGTACCACAAACTGAGTTGCTTAAACACCAAGAGATTTGTTGAGATCTGTTTTCATGAAATAATGAGAATGATTGGTCCTTGGATTTTAAAGAACTGTTAATATCATTGATGGTAAGAAGAGAAAAGACCTTTTTGGCTTTTGAAGCATTTGCAGTACTGTATGTTCTTTTGAACTCACGGTTCTTGGGTCTAGATGTCTGAGATCAAGGTGTTAGTAGGGCTGGCTCCTTCTCTCTCCTAGCTTTTGGAGGTTTCCTCGCAGTCTTTGGTGTTCCTTGATTTCTGCTGCATCATCCCCATCTCTGCCTTCATCTTCACATGGCATTCTCCGTGTTTGTGGATGTCAGTGTCTGTTTTCATCTCCCCCTTCTTTAAATTTTCTATTATTTTGGGGTTGTGCCAGTGGCATGCAGGATCTTAGTCTCCTGACCTGCTATTGAGCCTGTGTCCCCAGCAATGGAAGCCCAGTCCTAACCACTGGGTTGCCAGAAAACTACCACCATTCCCCATCCCGCCCCTTAAAAAAAAAAAAAAAAACAGTACCAATCATGTTGTATTAGGGAAACACACTGCTTTAGTATGACTTCGTCTTAACTGACCTGACAGCTCTTTACTCTCATCTCTTTTCCACCTCCCTTCACCCGTGGAAGAATGGGATGGAGGGCTTAAAGAAAATGAGTGTTATACACAGAACCGCTTCCCTTTAGTTCACCAGGACTGAACCTGACCATCTTTTCCTGTAGGGTAATTCCTCTCTGCTTCCCCTCACTCTCTCAAACAACTTAGACTCCTAACGAATTCACTCTTTTGTTCCTCAGATATGCCCAGTCAAGATCACACTGGCTGAACCTCATTAGTGAGCCTTCATTATACTGAAAAAACCTTCAAGCCTTTTTAAACTCATGCCCCCTTTCTCCTGATGCTTGTGTCTTTTTAGTTGTGGATATTCTCTAGAGCTGAGAGGCTATCCATCAATAATAATTAGAACTGAGGGAGGGACCATTAGTTGATCCTTTAGTATGAAGAGCAATATTGGTGGTATTGTCCATTTGATTTCTTGCCATTATTGCTTATTATTGGAGTTATTATAAGAGAAATATATGTTAATGTTATCTAAGCCTAAATACTCTTCTGACTGATAGATCATTTTCTCAGTCTGTATGTGAGGTAAAGACAGGTTTCATTTTTAAAAGTGTTTTTAACAAAACAAATATATTTCATAAATAACATAGGTCTTAAAATTCCCCCAAAAAATGTTTCAAAAAAACTCCCTCCTAAAGAATTATAGTTAAGATAGCCCAAGAACCAGAGTTTGCAGGGCATTAGGATTGAATCTTGGCATCTTATTAGTTTTTTTTTTAACAGATGTTGTATGGTTATTCAAAAGAACATACAGTATTGTAAAAGCTCTGAAAGCCAAAAAGGTCTATTGTTGTCTTACTATCAACAATATTAATGGTTCTTTAAAATCCATGGACCAATGATTTACATTATTTCATGAGAGCATACCTCTTGTTATTCAAAGAAAATCTTATAATGATTTATTTAAAAAAAAAAAGTCCTAAAAACCATCACATGACCTACGGTAAGGTCATGAGACTAAGTCACGAAGCTTTTGGAAATTCTTCTCCAGCATTCTGACCTCCATCTGGCGGTGACATCATAATGTCCTCGCTAGTTACAGGACCTGCTGGGCAGCAGAAGGGAAACTCTGAGACACAGTAGATCACTGGATAAATCACATTGTTTTCCCAATGAATTTTATATTGTTTATTTTTTTATCTGGGGTTTTCACCCCAGAGATTAGTGGTATAGAGCCCCCTTATGAAGGTGAGTAAGCATTTAAAACTTTCACTCAAATAGCAGATAAGAAACTTGATCCATTAGCCTAGAAAATTGGTCCATGGCAATTTTTTAAAAAATTTAATTGAAGTATAATTGATTTACAATGCTGTGTTAATTTCTGCTCCACAGCAAAGTGACTCCGCTATACAAATATATTCTTTTTCATATTGTTTTCCATGATGGTTTATCATAGGATGTTGAATATGGTTCCCTGTGCTCTACAGAGGGAGTTTGTTGTTTATTCCTCCTGTATGTAATAGTTCGCATCTGCTAACCTGAAACTCCCAGTCCTTCCCCCTCCACCCCCGCCCCCTTGGCAACCACAGATCTGTTCTCTGTGTCTGTCTCATAGACATGTTCATTTGTGTCATATTTTAGATTCCACATACAAGTGATATCATATGGTATTTGTCTTATTCTTTCTGACTTTCTTCACTTACTATTATATTATAATCTCTAGGTTCATCCGTGTTGCTGCAAATGGCATTATTTCATTCCTTTTTACGGCTAGTTGGTATTTCATTGTATGTGTATATACACACACCATATTTTCTTTATCTATTCATCTCTCAGAGCACATTTAGGCTGTTTCCATGTCTTAGCTATTGTAAGTAGTGCTGCTATGAGTATAGGGTCCATGTGTCTTTTTGAATGAAAAGTTTCCTCTTGGTATATGCCCAGGAGTGGGATTGCTGGTTCATATGGCAACTCTATTTTTAGTTTTTTGAGGAACTTCCATTCCGTCCTCCGTGGTGGCTGTATGAATTTCCATCCCCACCAATGGTATAGGAGAGTCCACTTTTCTCCATACCCTCTCCAACACCCCAAGGCAATTTTCTTCAGGGTGATATAAAGTGCATTTTTGGAAATATGATATAACTTAGATTTTAAATCTCTGTCTCATATCCTTTGTGAAGAAAATGCAGTTTAAAAAAAGTAGTGAAAGAGCAACACATTTCTGACCTCTGGTCATGCTTTTTTTCAGAGCATGAGATGACGCCCATACCTGAGCTGCCTGTGGCTGAAAATCCCCATACAATGGAAGAAGAAAATAAGGAGCATACTCCTGAGAAAACCGGCGATTATTATAAAGATGTAAAACAGTGTAAGTTTTCCAAGTTAATGGCAATACATATGCAAAAGATGATTAGACCGATTTGATTTATAAGCTGTAAAATTTCTATAATCATTTTATTTCCTATTTAAATTTTAATTTACCTTATAGACGTTTTGGTATATGAAATGGCATTATTTTCTTCAACTTCTTCCATGAAATATTATGAAGTTTAATAAGATTTGGTAACTGTCTATAATTTATATAGGATTTATCCTAGCAGCATGGTTATTTATTCACATTAGTAACAATTGAACTAATTCTGTGGTGAGATAAGCAAAATTTATTTGGAGATGTATGTCAGTTTCCTAGGGCTTCTTGAAATAGAGTACCACGAACTAGGGGACTCAAAACAAAAGAAATTTATTCTCTCACAGTTCTCACAGAAGCCGGAGATCCAAAATCAAAGTTTTGGTCAAACCATACTCTCTCCAAAGCCTCTAGGGTGGTGGTCCCGAAACTTTTTGGTGCTAGGGCCCAGTTTCATGGAAGACAATATTTCCATGGATGGTGCGGAGGGGGATGGTTTCTGAATGACTCAAGCACATTACGTTTATTATGCCTCCTCTGATCTGATAGGAGGCAGAGCTCAGGCAGTAATGGGAGCCATGGGCTGAGGCTGTAAATACAGATGAAGCTTTGCTTGCTCACTCACCTGCCACTCGTGTCCTGCTGTGAGGCCCAGTTCCTAACAAGCCACGGACGTGGCCCAGACTCTAGAAGACTATCCTCCCTTGCACCTCCCAGCTTCTGGTAGCCCCAGGAACTCCTTGGCTTGGAGCAGCAGAACTCCAGTCTCTGCCTCTGTCTTCACAAGTTCTTCCAATGTCTCCATGTCCAAATTTCCCTCTTCTCAATAAGGACACTGTTTTTGTTTAGGAGCTCACCTTCTCCCATGTGACTTCATCTTAACCAGTTAAATTGTCAATGACTCAATGTTCAAATTAGGTCACATTCTGTAGTGCTGCTGGCAAAGACTTCAACATAGCTTTTTGGGGCAAACAAAATTCAACCCATAACAAGATGACTTTGAGATGTTTGGAAGGTCTGCTAAACTGCAACTTATTCACCTTTCTTCATACAAGCTTTCCATGTCCTTATAAGGTCCACCATTTTAAAATGTGAAAAGTTCATAAAAAACTCTTGTTAAAAATTAAAAATAATTAAGATTAAATCTAACTATACTGGAATTTTTAATAATATTAGCCAAAGAAAAAATAGAAATACAATGAAGATATACATATATACATATATTCAAGTACTTTGTAAACTATAATTAGTATGTAAGTTGTATTTCTATTCTTTCTTTGATGAATCACTATCCTCTTTTGTAGGTGAAAAAAATCCCTGATGCTCAGAGAGGTCAATCGCCAGGTTTCATAGCTACAAAGAAGCAGTGTCAGGAGTGGTGTCTAATCTATCCAACACAGGCTGTGTCTACTATGCGTAGATTGCAAAATGATGCAGTTGCTTCCTTTTCAGGATGTCTCTCTATTTTTAATTCCCAGATATTAAATAAACCAAGAGCCTGATGATTACTTTGATTAAAAATCTTTCTTACACACACACACACACACACAGACACTCATAACATAAGTGGGACTAAAGAATTGTATTATGACATGCTTTTTCTCATATAAGAATTCTGGAGTTTTTTTCTTGTATACCTCATTATTTTTAATGGATATATAGTATTCCATGAAATGATTTATCATAATTAATTCACTGTCTTATTAAAGAATTAAATTATATGCAGTTTTTTCTCTTGTACATTGTTCTCACGTACACTTGAGTGTATCTCTGTTTGGATAGATACCAAGTACTGAAATTTCTGAATCAAGGATAAATCTTTTAAAATATTGATAGGTAACACCAAATTGTACTCTAAAACACATCTATCAAGAATGCTCCACAATGTCACATATACTGAATAATGTTAATCATGTTTTGTGAATAAGTGAGAATTTTCATTACTGTTTTAATTTGCACTCTGATTACTTGTGAAGCTGAGAATGTTTCTTTATATTTATTGGGCATTTTTATTTCTACTTTTGTGATTTTCCTGTTCATATCCTTGGCCCATTTTTTCTATTAGATTGTATTTTCATTTATTTGTAGGGGCTCTTTTTCATATTTAGTATATTCAATCTTTTCTCTATGGTAAAAGTAACAAGTATTTTCTCCCAGGCTGTTACTCACCTTTAAACCTGTTTAAGTATTCCAATCACAGAGAAAATTTAAAATTTTATAAGATCAATTCTTGATTAATCAATTTCTTTACAACTTCTTCACATTGTATCTTGTTTAGGTAGGCCTTATCCAATCCATGTATTAAATTATTTTCCAGTTTTTTTGAATAACTTCATATTTTATTAAAACTCTTAGGTCTTAAATTATTTTTGTATATGGTGTAAAATAGTCATAAATCTTTACATTTTTCGAAGAGGATTGCCAGTTGTCTAACACTAATTGCCTACTGATATGAAACTCACATTTAATATAATCTAAATTCCATTTGAAATTGGGTCAATTGTTATTAATACCTTTTCATTGTTTCTTTGATCTGTCATTCCCTGCAAAGGTCCACAATGTTTTAGTTTTTATACTCTAATAACTCATAGCATTAAATATTGACCTATGATTTTCTTCTATTTCTCCATTGACCTACCTCAGAAATTTTTCAAAATTAGTGACTGTGTGTGTGTGTGTCTGTGTGTTGGGGGAAGTGAATATATATGTATATATTAAACACACATACACATTCATGTGTGTAAAATTTTCTGTCATTTCATGAGATTTTGGAAAGAGGAGATCTGTGTATGTATGTTCAGTCTGGCACCTTGATCCATTTTACTTTGACTCTAACTGAATAGATACATCCATTAACTTTAAATTACAACCAGCCTCACTGACAACTCTTTCAGAGCAGGATTCATTATGTGCATATGTAAATGTGAATCCATTTGGGAAATCGTGATTGTTATTGAAATATGTGCTTTTTAAGCTGAACTATTACAGTCCAGCAAAAGGCTCAAGGGCAAGTGAATGCTTCTTACTTGGCTAAAATTTAACAGTGTTAATACAAACAGTAATGATATTCAGTTCAGCTCAGTTCAATTCAGTTGCTCAGTCGTGTCCGACTCTTTGCGACCGCATGAATCGCAGCACGCCAGGCCTCTCTGTCCATCACAAACTCCCAGAGTTTACTCAGACTCATGCCCATCGAGTCGGTGATGCCATCCAGCCATCTTATACATCTACAAACCTCCTTCAGCACCCATCATGCACTTGTATATGTTTTTGTAATTTCCTTAATAGTTTCTTTTCAGAAAGAATCATTTAGCATAAGAATGCTAGTTTGGTTTTTTCCCCCATGAATTTTATTTTTGACCCTTGCCCCACTTGTTATTTCGTAGCTGAAGAATGTCTCAAATACTTTATTATTCTTTTTTTAAAATTAGTGTATATGTTTTAGGAAAAAACTCAGATGAGGAAAAATGTGAAAGGAACAAGAAGTGACTTACCTAGCTGCTGAAAAGTTTTGATCTTATGTTTTCAGATGTCTTCACAACACAAAATCCAAATGGTACACAGTCTGAAATATCCGTGAGAGCAACAACTGATCTGAATTTTTCTCTGAGAAACTGTAAGTACTGAAAGGCAGCACTGCAAATAGGAAAAACACTTAAAGCAAGATTTCAAAGTAGCCCTGCAGACTATTGGGTAGGAAAAAGGTCTTAGTGGAGCTAATATCATCAGGGAGCCTTAATTTGTAAAAGGAGACTCCACCATAGCCATTGCACTGGTAAATTCAGAAAGCAGAAATGTTTTTACATTTCTTAGTCTCATATTTTTGGTTTCAGTGGAAAGAAAAAGAAAATAACAAAATTTAGAACTCCAGAAAATTGTTTTTTTCTTAAACCCACATTTTTACTTCTTTCTACTTTGTGCTTTCAGCTTCAAATATCATTTCTTTTTTGCATCTTTCTACCAAATATAACTATGGATAGAGGAAATGAGGAAATGTTGTCAGCATGTCACTTTGGAGGCCATTAAAAGTCTCTAAAGTATATATACCACATCCCTCACCTTAAAGCGTCAACAGCTCATATCTATGAAACCCAAGAAGACAAGGAAAAGAGGATGAAAGTAAATAGGGCAAGAGAGAATGTTTCTGACTATGACAATATTTAATATTAGGAAAAACCAGACTCAGCAATGCCTAATAATTAATAAAACTTCTTGACAATAATGGAACATTTTGAGCAATTCCAAAACTTGAAACATAAACATGACATAGGGACATTTCGAGGGCACACATTAATTTAGACAGATCTCTCATGGGAATTTTGTTTGCATACAGCAGACAACATCTTGAACTGTTTCTTCAACAGGCCAGGTACCTAAAATTCCCTTTAGGAGATGGATTATCGATGACCACACGACCCATGGAAGAGATTTCAAAACCCTAACTTCTCTTCCCACAATTCAGGTGCCCAGAGGATTATCAAAATTGGGTTGGGATAAGAAATTTTTGCGATTTTCACTGGGGCTCTAACAGAGACTTGTTGAGTGGTGGGGACATTCTGGAGGAGCACGCTCCCCAAGGAGATGGGAATCTCCAGAATAATTTTGACTAATTATTCTTCTAGTCCCTAAAATGATAAGAACAAGCAGTAGTGAGGCAATCCAGACATGTTTCTCCCAAATCAAGTGGGGGTTGCAAAGCAGAATTTAAGGACCACATCCCAGTCATTCCAGCCCTGCCTGGGTCCATGTCAACTCTGCTAATGGATTAATTTTTTTCCATCCTTTCTTTCTAACAAGCTACCTATAATAATGTTGTCTGTAGGCTCAGTAGAAATCTCGCTAGAGTGGGATTGCCTGTAATTCATATGGCACTTCATCCATTCCTGTCTGCAGCAAAGTTAACTGAAATTGCCAACTTCATAGGGAAAAAAATGGTCCTCCAGTCATAAAGTGAAAAGTAAAAGTGAAAGTCGCTCAGTCATGTCTGACTCTTTGTGACCCCATGGACTATACAGTCCATGGAATTCTCCATGCCAGAAGACTGGAGTGGGTAGCCTTTCCCTTCTCCAGGGCATCTTCCTGACCCAGGAATCGAACCGGAGTCTCCTGCATTGTACGCAGATTCTTTACCAGCTGAGCTAGTAAAGGGGAAGCCCTAAAGTCACAACTTCTCCCAAATTGACTCTTATATACCTCCAGATGGACGCATTATAGACTGAGATATAGCTTTAATCAGGCCTGGAAATCCTTGATCTGTAACCCCAAGTTTTAATTGCCCAAACTGATTTGAGTGGTTAACATGCATATGTTTCCAGCTTACCAGGCCACTGCTCTTACCTCCTTCTTTCATGTCATCACACTGAACCAGCAGCCAGTTTGTCCTAGGTTGACAGTATTTCTTCAAAGCCTGTGCAGGAAACTATGTGAAGCCAGTGTACCTCACCCAACAGAGCTTCCTTAGTGCCAAAGGAAGCCTGTAGCCCCACACTCCCAGTCTTTGCTCTCTCTCACAAATTATAGGCATATTAATCCCACCTAAGGCAGCCTCTTATTAGACAAACATCATTCTTCAATGGCTGCTTCTTTTCCCTCCTTTAAGGTATCTCAGGAAAATGTCAACATCTTTCTCTTTGTTTTTTTTTTTTGTTATTGTTGTTTTACTCTCTCCTTTTCTTTGTTCTATTTTTTAGCTTAAAAAATGCCTAATTACAAATGTTGAGTCAGTATTTTTATATGCTGATAATCCATTATGCCTTTTCCTAGATAAACTCGTCAATGAAACAACTACGGTGCCACCTCCTGAAGTAGTCAGCCATGAAGAAAGTAAAGAACCTTTTGGAAAAACTACTCACAGTATTAAACTCACAGCATTGTAGTCAGACCTGGAGCATGTCCTTATATGACTTAAAAATTTAACTTACATTACTCTGAGTATTTCATAAAATGATAACATACTTAAAGAATTCATGCTACTACAATTTAAAATCATTCTAAAATCTTTTAAATGGTAAAAATCTAGGGATCAATTTTCAGATTTACCTGACAAAGGATAGGAAATGAACTCTTTTCAAAATACAACCTGGTTGTAGTAAAATGTATTACAATTATATTTATATTAAATATATTTAAATAAAATATCATGTGTGTATAAATATACATTTATATAAATATATTTAATACATTTTAATATAATTTTTTAAATTATAGTAATAATTTTAACAATCACATACTTGATAAATAAACTTAACTCTGCTTATGATTTTTAGCATTTCCTAAGAATATTAGTGGAGAGTTCAGTGCGAGAGTTTACAAAATCAAAATTATCATTTTACTTTACTGACAGTATTGTTTCTTATAACATACCTGTGAAACCATAACAACTCAGGATGGCTTTTCTCTAAGGTGTTGAAATAGGAGTGGTCTAACTGAAGACTGTGAACTGCCGTTACATGACATGTTGTTACACGACGTTACATGTCGTTATATTCTCCAGTTCATACAATCCAACTCTATTTCTCATGATTCCTTTAATATGGTTATTCACTTTCTTGAATAACCATATTAGAGTAATATTTAAAAGTAGAAATTTATTTTATCATCCTGGTATGCCCCTTCTTAAATACCATCAGTAACTTACTGCTAGGTTTGGGGTCATATTCTAAATTCTTAACCAGGCATTCAAGTCTGAAGTGATCTGACCATTGAAGAACTTGCCAGTCTCATTTCTGGTCACATTCGCCACCCATATTCTCCACACCAGACTACTGAACCTGCTCATAACACCTGCGTTTGCTCACAGTGGAAGGACCTCTCTCTCACATAGTTTATCTGGCAAACAATTCCTAGTCTTCGGAGCCTTTGTGAGAGCTTGGCGTCCCTTGCGAAGTGTTTCCGGCTTTTGAAAGTGAATTAGATTCTTCTGTGAATACCACCTGTGCATTGCTATGAAAGCCCTCATCCTCCTGCAATGTGATGAACAGTGATTCTTGTCTGTCTGCCTCTCAAAGTAAGAGTGTGTTCCTTAAACATAAGACCTATATCTTGTTCATTTCTGTAACTTTAATGCCACCCACAGGGTCTGGCAATGACAGGAACTCAAGGTGTAATTGTTACATGACTAGACTAACATAAAAAAATGAACAGTCTGTCAAAATTTTACTAAAGTCAAATTACCTTATTTTGTTATCCTGTTCTATTTTGTTTTTTAAACAGAAGGAACCCAGAGTCCAAATGAGCCTGCATTTTGGACAATGTTAGCTAAAGGTAAACTCATAGTAGTTAGGTAGCTGGGAAAATGTTTTGGTTTTCTTAAGTCTTCTGTAAGAAAGCCAAGATCAGTGTAAATTTTTCTAATACTAAGAATTAATAAGTCAACATTTTGCTGCCATCATCACATGTAATAGCAAATGCAAGACAGACCCAGAAAGTTGATCAAGTGTCACACATTTTCTGATCCTCTCACCAAGTTTCGTTCTCCTACAAATGTTACAATCTAGCCATTTAATTTCTTTATTATGATTAAAAATTTTAAATAAGGTTCTTGCTCAATAGTATCCCTCTTTGTATTTGGAGCAGTATGTGTATAAACACATGGGGATGCATGAATGAATGCAAAGTATATATCAAAATATATGCATGCACAAAAGTGAAATGTAAATCATAAATGTACATGCATTCATATATAGATCACACACATAGCATTTGTGTGTATGCATGTATACACATACATGTATATTATCAATAAATGCATACATGCATAAATATAATTCATGAATCACATACATATATGCATGCATTCTATGAATTATATACCATATTTGATGGATCCTCATTTGCAGATTCTGTATTTGTAAATTTACCTACATTTAAAATTTCTTTGGAACTCTCCAAATCAATACTTGCAGAACTTTCACAGTCATTGATGGGCACACACAGAGTAGCAAAAAAAAATTTAATTTCCTGAAGCTCTTGTTACCAGCTGAAGTATAACAAAGGCCTTCTCTTTTTAGCTCTCATGTTGTAAACAAAATACCTTTTTCTATGGTCTGTTTAGTATAAGGTGTTTTGCATTTTTGTGCTTTCTGCTGGCAATTTTGCTATTTCAAATGCCCTCCAAGTATAGTATTACAATGCTGTTTGGCTCCTAAACATGAGAAGGCTGTTATGTACCTAAGGAACAAAAATGTGTGTATTATATAAGCTTCATACAGGTGTGAGTTATAATGCTATTGATTGTGAGCTCAGTGTTAATGGATCAGACTGTAACCCACCAGGCTCCTGTGTCCATGGGATTTCCCAGGAAAGAATACTGGAGTGGGTTTCCATTCCCTTCTCCAGAAGATCTTCCCACCCCAGGGATGGAATCTGGGTCTCCCTTATTGCAGGTGGATTCTTTACCTCCTGAGACATCAGGGAAGTATAATCAATCAGCCATATACACTAAATAAAGTGTCTCTAAACAGAAACATACATAAAACAAGGTTACTGGGTCAAAAACAAGGTTATATGACCAGAGGCTCATCAGAACCTAACCCTGTATTTCCCTTAGGAATGATGATGGTTCAGTATTCACTTAATTCAGTGCTTACATGACTTAACTACCATGAAAAATGAGAATGAACTGTATATAGTATACACACACATCTACACACACAATAATTTTAGTAAGTGAATTTTGTTTACCATAACACCAATTTATTGTTTTAACAGCTATAAATGCAACCACCAGTGAGGACAACCAACGAGATCAATTTTTTCACCCAATTCCAAGTAAGAGCAATACTTCAGTTAAATGGATACATAAATACTTGCACACAGTTTAGTGTCTACATGGTGGTACTGTTTTCCTCAGTAAGGTGCTTTATATGTAAGAGATTAGTATGGTGACTGATGTTATACTAGAGAGGACATTTACAGTTTTAGGAAAGTTATGGTTTCTAAACTGTGTTCTCAATGACCAAATTGCAGATACTTCCATCTTCCTGTTGGGTAACTTTTAGTCCTGGAAGTAAACAGAAGCAGTAAACTACATGGAGTTGTAGGCAAATGAACAAAACATAGGATGCAGTTTTTTTTTAATTGACAGACTTTTTTAGAGCAGTTTTAGGTTACAGAAAAATTGAGTAGAAAGTAAAGAGTTCTCATATATTCTACCCACTTAGTTTTCCTTGTTATTAACATCTTCCATTGGGGTGGTGCATTTTTTTTATAATTGATGAGCCAATATTGATACATTGCTATTAACTAAACTTCACAGTTTACATTAGAGCTCATTCTTTCAGTTGTATGATTCTACAGGTTTTGACAAATATCTTGTGTCCACCATTACAACCATACAGAGTAGCTCCATCGCCCTAAATTTCCTATGATCTACCTAGCCATCTTCCCCTTCCCCAACCCTGATCTTTCTGTTCTCTATTGGTTTAGGCTTTTCCAGAAGGTCAAATAGTTGGAAACATACATGTATTCTTTTCAGAGTGGCTTCTTTGGCTTAGTACTCTGCATTTAGGTTTCTTCCGTGTCTTTTTGTGACTAGATAGTTTACTACTTTTCATCACTGAATGATATTCCAGTATATGGATGTACTGGTATGTTTATCCATTCACCTATTGCAGGACATCTTGACTGTTTCCAAGTTTTGGCAATAATGAATAAAGCTGCTATAAACATTCATGTGTAGGTTTTTGTATGGTCATAAGTTTTCAACTCATTCGGGTAATACCAAGGATTGTGATTGCTGAATCATGGGGTAAGACCATGTGCAGATTTGTAAGAAACTGCCAAACTGTCTTCCAAAGTCGCTGTACCATTTTGCATTCCCACCACCAACAAATGAGAGAATTCCTGCTGCTGAATGTAGTTTTCATTAATGGATTGATTTTATTTATATGAATTAAAAAAAGAACTCCTGACTTTGATGGAAAATTTCATAACAAGGCATCATATTAATTTTCCCCAAACCTCTGTCCTATGTAAATACATTGAAAAAGAAATAGCATCTGGTAATATACACAGGGCCTACCACCTTAATTCTGTGCTGGGTTATTTGACACTTAAAGCTACTTGCTTTTCAGTGAGTCAAGAAAATGGCATCAGTCTTCTTTATTTAGAAAAGTGATAACCAGTAATGACAATGTTCTAGAAATATTTTGTCTTTTCAAGTAATGAAAGTGAGCATCATCGATTTTCTATTGCATATTGACCACATACTACACTTTACATATGTTATTATGTCAATCCTCAGAGCAATTCCATGAAAGCTGGTGTTATCTCCATTTTACAGATGAGGAAACTGTGGCTTAGAGGGGGAAAAAAAAACCTGTCCCAACTTGTAATTAGCTTTTCTATAATTTCCAATGGTTAGGAATTTCAAACCCTTCTTTAGTTTTGAACATCATCTTGATAAACAAATGTACTATAAGCACACCTCTTTACAAAAGCCCTTTTAATTCAGGAGCACAGCCCATTTTAATATAATTTATTTCCAAAATAATCTGCCTCAAAGTCAAGGTGTCAGTCATTCACAACTGTATACATTTCTCTCCCCTTGGCCTAGGATTGCACATGGACAATTTTAATTTTTTTAATATAAGAGAGTACACACATAGGAATTTGTCATTGCTTATTACCAAAACATCATTACCTGAAAAAAGTCATGAAAAATCATTGGAACTTTTGGGTGAAAAGATGTTGGGGGAGAGGGGATAAATAGCAACATGATCATTTAAAGTCACCATTACATGCCTATGAAGTCAGACATATATTCAGGAAGATAGAAAATTTGGCAGTAAATATATATATTTATTCTTTAGTAAAAAGACACTTGACGTTTCTGGATCCAGATGTGATTTTAATTACATATTTTAGCAAGTTAGCTAAATTTCCATTTCTTTCACACCAAATACACTAGATTTGATCACAGTAATAAAAAGACAAATTCAGTTCTTAAGCTTGTGGAGGAAGCACTGTAGTACATCATCCTTTTAACTTAAAAGAAAGATCAACTACTGCCAACAGGAGAAATGCATATTTCTGTCCTGAAGGACTGATCCCATGTGTGTAATTTCATCACGTTTTTAATAGTAATCTCTTCTGAGTCTTGGATTGGTTTTTAATTATACAAGGAGGAAGGCTGATACATGTTTTAACATCTGGTCACCTGGATTTGATACCAGATTTTGCCACTTACTAGCTGTGTGCCGAGGGCAAACCCATAAACTTCTGTGATCCTGGAAAATGGAGTGAGGGTCAGCTCCTCCAAGATTGCTGTGAAGGGGAAAGGTAAAAAAAAAAAAGTTGAGAGTCTTTGTCCATAGTAAGTGCCGATAGCCTTGTCCTTTGCATCGCAGGAAGGTAGAGGGAAGTGTGCAGTGAAGAGAAGCAAAGGCTTCTCTTCAGTTGCATTGTGATCCTTACTCCTCCAGAAAAGCTTGCTGAACACAGTCACTCTTTCCCACTGCGTTTTCTTTCTTTCCTCTCAGACTCTGATGTGAATGCTACAGGGGAAGACAACACGGCAAGAATACAGGAAGCCAAGTTAAAACTAATGCTGGGCATCTCACTGATGACCCTCTCCCTTTTTGTGGTCCTCTTGGCGATCTGTAGTGCCATGCTGTACAAAATGAAGATGATGAAGTAAGTCTACTACAGACCTCCAGAGCCTTTAAAACACGACAGGAAACTCCCACTCTCCCTTCCTCAGTAGAGGGCTGGGCAAACATGACTCCCAAGTTTATAAGGTATTCAGTTTGGCTCCCTTGCCTCTATTTGGAACGGACCATGGAGCTGTCTCTCAGGGAGTATCCCACTTGAACTTGTCCTCAATATTTTATATAATCACCTAGAGATAGAAACAACCCTAGTCAATTGGGAAGGTGATAGAGAAGCTAATGCATTCTCTTTCAATAGCCTTGAAACAAAAGGGGTTATGAACTCTGTTCTAAATAGCACATCTGTGTAGGGTCTAACATTTTAAATTCATTTATCTAGTGTAATAATAAACAGACAATATATTGGACAGAATTCATATATTAAGATGCTTTTCTAAGTCAAGCTGCAAACACACACAAAAACAGTTCTTGATGTATACTTCTGTTTTCAGATATAAACAAGCATGTCAGACTGGTGAATACTCCGTCAACCCAGAACTGGCCACCCTATCTTACTTTCATCCATCAGAAGGTGTATCAGACACATCGTTTTCTAAGAGTGCTGAGAGCAGCACGTTTTGGGGCACCACTTCTTCAGAATTAAAGAAATCAGACACAAGGTCAAAATCTAGGATGACAGACATGACTTCCATGGCCTCAGAGGAGAATGAGGAGCCAGACATGATTCAGAGTGAGGAGCCCAGCGAGGAGCCCACAGATGATTAGACAACTGTCATATTTTTGTCATAAAAAATATCTTTGTGATGTTCATGTTATAATTTGGAAACTCTGCTGAGACCAAATTTTCCAGTGTCGTCAAAGGAGGGTATATTCAATAAAATTCTCTCAGCTATAAAAACTATTTAATGGAAAAAATATAAGGAAATAAGGTGTGAAAAAGTTCATCAAGTAAAAAATGATCCTGGAAAGTGACTTATGCAAAGTATTCATTCTAGGCTGGCTCTTTTTAAAATATGAGTATTTCATTTTTTTACTTACCTGTGGGCATTTTAGGGAATTTTGGGGCAACCACTTCTATGCCCCTCCCCACCACCAAAGCAAAAAGAACACACCCATTGGTGCTTACTGGCAAAACAGGTGTGCTGTATCAAGAGACAAAACTAGTATTAGAGACTCCTGGCATTCTTCAATTGTTTCAAAGTCATCAGGGTGCTCTCATGGGACAGTAAGATTTAGGGGGAAATAGTTTTTCCATTTTTAAAGTATCCATAACCATTTGAGATATCATTGTTTTCCAGAAGAAGAGAAAGGAAGGAGGGATTCCAGCATCTAATTTCCTCGAGGGGGATTTATGGGTCCTGAATATTTTAGGGCTAAGGCCCCTTCCTTCTCTCTCCCCACCAAGAACCCATGCTTGGTATGTGGTATCGGGGGTGGGGAAAGCATTTCAAAGACTAATTTATGTTATCAGTGACTTATGAAACTATCTATCCTAGGAGTATTTCAGTTTACAGAGAAGACCAATGGAATAGGGATACTGTTTCCCTTTTAGGAGTGTTTCAGCTGGAAGGATTTTAGAGACGTGTTATCAGATCCTTTGTGGATGTGTGTGGATGATGGGGAGGGAAAGAACTGGGGTGGTGTCATTGTCCTAAATTCTCACCTACTTTATGCTATGCACTTTGATACATTATATCACAAAGAATTCTACCACCCTATGCAGGACAAGTTTATTTGACAGACCAAGAAAGGAGAACTTGGGTAAGTGGGACACCTTGCCTAAGATCACCTGCTAGACAAAGTTTAGATGTGCTTTGACACTGAGGTTCTCTCCCTGATCCATGAAGATTAACAGTAAGACCTGTAGCAAAAGTCAAAGGATGCAAGGTAGGCATCCACAAGGCAGGAGATTCCTTAACCCAAATGTCCTTTCAGCTCTTGGGAGATTGTTTTCCCTAAATGTAGGTTAGGTGTCTATGAACCTCCTTCCCTATAGAAGACAGACACGCACGCGCACACGACACTCACCTGCCACTACCATCCATTCTCAGAAGCATCCTTCTCTCCCCATTTCCTCCCCTGATTTCAGCTCCAGCCTGCCCATTGGCTGGAAAAGCTACAAAGCACCGCCTCCAAGTAGCCACAGACTATATAAGGCTGTACTCTGGCGGGAGTAGGTCGGGTGTTCGCCTTTTCTCGGTCTTGTCACCGCCACAGCGCAGGCGGGTTTTCGGAGCCAGGTGAGGTGAACCTCGAGCAGTAGCCCATGCTACGCTCCGTGGGTTACTTTTGCCAGCCCCGGGGGTTGGTGCCAGGGTTTGTACTGCCGGTTCAGGCACCAGGAAACGCGGTGGGAATTGAGTGAGGCAGGTAGTTGCAGCAGCTAGGAGGTGCTCAGGCTGCAGGGGAGCCATGGTGAATTCATGGGTGAGAAAGGGCTCGTGGGAAGAAGGTCAGGTGGGAGTGGGGAAGGGTTGGCTACCAACCGTCCCCACCTTCTCCCTCCACCAATCCTTGGAAGAACCTGGGAGGTTTCTTGATTGGAAATAGGTGTAAGGGTTACTTTTGTCTTCAGTACTGAAGTACTGCAGCTTGAGAAAGTGAATCAATATAGCATTACTATGCCTAAAATAGTATGGTAAATTTACTAAGGTAAAGAATCTGCCTGCAATGCAGGAGGCCTGGATTCCATCCCTGGGTCGGGGAAGATCCCTGGGAGAAGGGAATGGCAACCCACTCCAATATTGTTGCCTGGGAAATTCCATGGATACAGGAGTCTGGTGTGTTACAGTCCATGGAATTGCAAAGAGTCTAACACGACTGAGTGAATTTCACTTTTCATGGATAAAATGCGCCCCCCCCCCAAAAAAAAAACCAAAATTGGTTTCTCATCCTCCATTGACATAACTTGTGGATACCTTTGTAGGTATCATTTTAAAATGCAGTCAAGTTACTGGGGCAGTGGGCCTGAAGAATGCCTGATAATCTTTACTGATGCCACTTTCTTCTCCCCTCTCCCCTAGTCTAGATGTGAGGAGAGGGTCATACAGCCCAGACTGATGTGTATGTGTGTTGGGAGGGGGTATGCCTTCTCATTTGCCCCCTGCTGACCCTCCAAGCCACTATTAAACCTGGAATTCCTATACAGGTTGTCTAGACCTCTGATCTGTTTGTTTCCTCTTACAGGACATAGTAATACCAGTTCCTTCAAAATGTGTTTCTCCCCCTATTCTGAAACACCCGTGTGTTTCCCTTCTCTGATGCTCTTAACCTGCCCCTTCCCCAGCTCTCCAAGAGGGCTGTTGACCACCACATAGCTGCGTAAGGGCAATTCCTATAGAGCGGCTGTTCTGGAAAACAAGGACTTTGCCTTGGGACGAGGAACCAAGTAGAATCTCCATGAGTAAAATTTCCCAGCATCGCACTCTAGGATCAGGAGAATTAAAAACTAGTCCTCAACCCCTCTTACTTGTCCCTCCCACTTAAAGTATGTTGGAGATCGAGATATACCGAGTAGTGAGAGTGCCATGGAGATGCTGTTTGAGGGTGTTTTCCTGAGAGGCTTTTGGGTGGCCCCACAGTTCCTGAAACCGGGAGGTGGGGACGTCCAGGGACATTTGGGAAGACTGTAGACTGGGCTGGCCACCCGGAGAGAAACTCTGCCCGCCTAACCGAGCGCTCACCTCTACGAGGTGGCCCCGCCCACTGCTCCGGCCAAGGGGCGGGGCCAAGGTCACGTGGCTGGGGGCGGGGCGAGGAGTGGCTGGCAGGCGTGCAGTTTCCTGCTCCGCATACGCGGGATCCTGGTTTGCTGGTTGCAAGGTGCACGTGCGCCGTGTTGTATGGGTTTATCCTCGCTCACTGCCACCCGTCCTCAGTGTGGACTTATCTAAGGAGTTGCCTGAGCTCTGGTAAAAGGTGGTGGGTGGGGTGGAACCCGGCTTGTGGCAAGGGGTAGTTACAAATCAGAAGAAGCTCTTCCCAATCGCCTCTAGCCTGAGCAAAGGTTGTGAGTCTGCCTCTGACTTCAAAATTTGCCCTCCAAGTCTAGCTTCTGGTGGAGCAGAATCATTTTAAACTTCTGACATGGAGGGAAATAATATTCTCTCCCCTCTCCCACCCAGCCCCCATAGCACCCCAAGCACTGCTTAAACATCCTTTCCTGAATCATGGCAACCAAATAAAACCCAGCTTATGCCAAAATGCAGTTCTGGCTGGTTACCCAGTTTACTTCCCCTTCCAAGTTTCTTTCAAGAAAAATTAGAACCAGTTACATTTGAATCGTAGGTTAATTCTCATGCTTATGCCTGCTCTTCGCCTTTTTCCTTCTCCATCAAAATGCGCCACACCTTTGTCACACTTTGCCTTTTAATAGAGTTAATTTCTTAATAGAGAATGAATGGTAAAGTGAAAGGCTCGTGAGCCAAAGGAAAGCTCATTGTGTAAAGAGGAAGCACGTGTGTGTTATCAAAAGGTGTAAGTTATCTAAAATAAATTAAGAGGTTTAAAAAGTATAATTTGGACGATATCTCATATCTGAAATCTCTTGTTTTCGAGAAGGGAGAAGTGTGTAAATTATGCCGTAATTGACATTGTGAAGTGTATCTTGGAAAGAGGGAAGAGATGGTAATTTCCTTATTTAAAAAGTCAGGAAGGACCTGCCAGGTATTGTGAAGGGCCATGGCTGGCAGCCTTATCTCTTGGCACTGTTCTGGGTTTCCTCAGGAGTGTGGATCCAGCTACTTTCGAGTTTTATTTGTTAATTTTTTTTTTTTAAGATTTTTTTAATGGTTGGTTGTGGAACGGTGTGTTTTGCTTCTTTTGTGTTTGACGCATTCTGTAGAACAGAAGGGACCTTGGGACCTTAGTGAGAATGTTGAGAACCACTGAATTAAAAGACTCATGCTTTAAAAAAAACTTTCTTACGATGGTGCAGATGTATTGGTGAGAGACTGTACAGTTCCGTGTAAGCAGCATTCAGCTCTTTGAACGTTGCCAAATTGTCACTGCCTGGTAAAAAGGTTAATAGTTAGTATATCCAAATCATGTCACGTTTGACACAGTTTAATATGTATAGGCATGACATCTGTCACACAGATATGTAGCTATGCTGGTAATAAGACGTGAATATTTTAATCAGTCATAGGAATGAGCTAGACATAGAAAGACTTAATCAGTGATATTCGTTGTCCTCATTCCAAGAACTGACCTGTTCGTCAGCAGTTCCTGTGTTTAAGGCTGGGTTTGGGAACGTTACTGTCCCTGTGATAGGAAAGCTCTTTGTCCAGGATATTTTGGGGTCTGCACTTCATCTTGAGTGATGTTTAAAGATAAACTTATCTCCTGTTAACAACTCTAGGCACGACTATGGAACAATTGGAAAGAATCAACAAAGAAATCAACTCAGGCAAGACTGAAGTTGAAGAAAAGCAGAAGATGCTCCCCAGGTTTACTTCAGCGCTTGAAGAGCTATCGCAAAGCCCCATGGCCTCCTTGAGTGACACAGTGTGAAACAGGGTTTTCCTGAAAACAGCCTGCTCCCACAAGAAAAGTGGAATGAACCATCAAAAATCAAAGAGAGCCAGCCTACAAAGTACCTGATGGACCACACATGTCCAGCAACTGACCTTGAATATGATCCCTTGCTCAATTACTCGGTAGCACTGCTTGGAGCATCTAAAGGAAGGCAAGGTGAGACTGACAGTCAGCCCTTCTGGAAAAAATCTGTGGATAAAAATTGCCACAAGTCCCTGGAGAGTCAAAGACCTTATGTTTCACCCATAAGAATTAAAATAAATCTTCAAGATTCTGATGAAGATGACCTTGTAATGGATGAACCTCCAATCATTCCTGTTTCTAGGAGATCTAAACGCTTTAGAGGCTTTAAATATCAGAATATGGAGGAAAGGGTACAGCTAGTGCCTCTGGAGGAAAGAAATCTTCAGATCAGTGGCATAGAAGAGGAAAAAATAGATGAAACCCAAAAACTACACACAGAGAAGATGACAGTAAGAAGCTAGAACCATCAAGATCACTCATGAAAACCTCACTAGATATTAAAACTAAGATAAACATGTGTGGTGTTCAAAACCACATTTCTAAGATGGGAAGCTTTGGTGGTGAGAAGATGCATGTCTGCATTTCAGGAGAAAATATGTCTTATGCCCCTCCCAGGGACAAAGAAATCCAGACAGGAAGTCATAGTGAAAGGTATCCAAAGAGGGCAAGACATGTAAAGACAACTGATGATACTCAACAAGAAGAGACTGAATGGCTGTCTTCACCAAGCCAACTCCAATTCTCTTATTTAGACGATCACTTGAAAGACAAGAGTTCTGACAGCACCAGATGATAGTCAAGACTTGACTATTTTTGAAGACGGCAGGTTAGTTGAATTTGGTTTAGATAAGGAATATACTGGAGATGACACTCCCTCTGATTGTGATGACACTATGAAGGAATGTCTTCGAATTTTCAGTGAGTTCACACAAAGCCATGATCATGAGGGAGAGACTACTAAACAGGTTGTCACTTACTCTTTTAATCCTTTTCCTAAATCTAAGTGTTTCCCTTAAATACACATTCTCTATATTCTAAACTTTATAAAATATATATACCATCTATTATATATTTCTAATATTATAATTAAGATACTATAATAAAAATAAATAAATTTTTTTCTTTATATAACATTTATTTATTAAAATAATTAAATATATTTATAATATTATAATTAATAATGTATTAGAATGACAAGGCTAAACCTTGGTAAGTGGCCAGGCATTACATCTTGCAAGTTTGACAGTTTCCAGAGCCCATGGTATTATATACAGTAACTGAGAGTTGATTTGTCAAATTAGAGGAATCTTTTATAGGAGTATCTATTTATGTCAAATTATCCAAAATAAGTTATTTTTTTGTGAATTGTTTCTTAATAATTTGCCCAGTGTTTTGTATTTTGGATTTCTGTGGCTCTTCAGGAAACATGATAAATCTGCTTTTACTACACTGAAATTGGATAACTCTTATCGTTTGCCACTAGGCTTCAGGAAAGCAAATGGAATTAGATATGCTGTATTACCAAAACATTTCTGGACCAAAAAGGAGAATTGCACACACTGCCAAGCTTGATGTGAGTCATTTTGTTTCTCTTTCTCTCCCCATCCCTCCCTCCCTCCCTGCCTCTGGCTTTCTGGAAGCATCTGGCTTTCTCGAAGCACTTAATATATTAGTTACACACTTTGTCATTTCAAGCTTTAAGTATATTCTAGTACTTGTTACCTTTTATCCACTAGGGGGCACAAGTGGGCAGTCAATAAATACATTGCCTACTTGTAAGCATTTTTCAAAACCTTCATTTTTTTCCCCATTATCTAACATTTTCTTTAAAAGCAGGTATATTGTTTTTGTATAACCTTTGAAGTATAAATTAATATGGTCAATCATTATTTTCAGATTCTGTTTTTGCAGATTCTTCTATTCAGTAAAATGAATTTGTATCTTTAAAATCAATACTCATGCTTTTGTGGTCCTCTGTAGACACACACAGTGGCAAAAAAAAAAAAAAATTGAATTCCCTGACCTACACATTCCCAGCTAAGACTAAACACTGCACCACGGCCCTCCGGTGCAGTGGTCATACTGTTAATCTTATCTGAGTCTATTTAGTGCCATATTTTCTGCATTTTTGTGTACTTTGTTGGTGATTTTGTGATTTAAAATGGTCTCCAAGTAGAGTCCTGTCTACTGTTATTTGGAGCAAGAAGGTTGCACTGTGCCTGACAGAGAAAATGTGTGTTAAACAACTTTGTTTAGGCATGAGTTATTAGTGCTATTGACTACAAATTCAGTATTAACCAGCAGTCTACTAAATGAAGTATTTTTAAACAGAAACACACATATCACAATTTTATGTATTGACTGATGCAACTGTTGTGAGACATACCTGCAGTTAGAAGCAGTGGTTTGGTATTCTCTAATCCCTTGTTTGTGAGACTCTCTCGAACTTAACTAGAGTGAGTAAGGGGACTTGACTGTACTTTGTCAAAAGTAATTTGAGCCTCTTATAAATTTATATTATAAATGTTGAAGTTCCTTTATGAGATGTAAAAATGTTATTTAATGCAAACTTTATTTCTCTGCACTCATCTCTGTATTACTTGTACTTGGTATATACTCACAGTAGAAGCTTTTGCATGTCATAAAAAGAATTTATGCTTTCAAGTCACAGATAACAGCTTGAATTCCAGTTCTTCTCAGAAGAGTTGAATATCCTTGAACAAATTATTTAATTTCTCTGTGTTTTCATTTCCCATGTCCATGAACTAGAGGTAGTGAATGCCTGCCTAGCCCACAGCCAGATATTATTTACTATTATTTATTAGATATTTACTAAACTAGTTTCTCTCCCCTTCTGTCTTATGAAAAAAGTTTTCCTGGAGGCTAATTTTGTTTCCTGTTCATTGCAAATGCTGTGATATTTATAGTTTTCATTTTACTGTGCTATATAGTATCTCTCCAGATTCTTATATTTAAATGATTGATGGTTTTATCAGTGATTTTTTTAAAATAAATTCTTACACATGGAAGTAATTGGACAAAAGAAGATAAATATTTTTATCGCTTAAAAAATATATTGCCATTTTGCCTTCTAGAAGGGTTGTGACAGTTTACAGTCCTACAGTGTTCAGAGTTCCCTCCCCACAAACCTTACAAAAAGTGGATATTATTTTTTTTAAACCTGTAAATCTGAGTGAAATTTTATTTCCTTATTTTGTATTACATTTCTCTGATTACTAGTGAAGCTGAACATTTTGTGATATGTTACCTTCTAGTAATGAACGTTGCTGTGGAGAAGTCTGATGCTACCTTGCTATTACTCCCAGTGTGGGAGTAATAAAACACCTGATAAGTTTGCCTGGCTATCTAGAGGATTCTCTTCTTAACTTTGAATTCCAGTAACTTGAGTAGAATATGTCTTATTAACACTTCTACCTGCAGACAAAGTGTCTTTTTCTTATAAGATTTTATTTTCTTTCTTATTTCAAGAAAAATTTATTATATGCTTAAATAGTTGTTCAGTTTTATTATTTCAACTTACTTCTGTGGTTACTCCAGTTATGTGTGTATTAGAGCACATGTAGTATTATGCATGCATGTTCACTTAGTCGTGTCTGACTCTTTGCAACCCCAGGGCTCTGTCCAGGCTCTCTTGTCCATGGAATTCTCCAGGCAAGAATACTGGAGTGGGTTGCCATTCCCTTCTCCAGGGGATCTTCCTGACCCAAGGATCGAACCTGTGTCTCCTGTATTGACAGGCCGTGTTCTTTACCACTGAGCCACCTGGGAAGCCCATGTAGTATCATAAATGTAGACATTTCCAGAGAGCTTTTGTGCAAAGAGGAACTTGAAATTATCCATCTTATCAATTTTTAAAATCAGTTTTCTTTATATTATGTTGATGTTTATAGATATCAACCTGAAAACAGATCACTGGTCTGTTCAGGGGACAAATCCTGTCACTAATTAGTCACACTGGGATCTTTCAGACCGAGCAATAAGTAGTGCAGACAATGACTGCCATTAAGGATGAGCAGGCTTTTGGTCCTGCCACTTCAGAACAGAATAAAAATGCCTTTCTATGTCCAGCCTTTCAGAGCTGGAGGAAAGCCTCAGGAGGTATGAGAAAATCTTTTTTTAGCCAATTATTTAATAAATGAAGTTTTACTTTATTTTAAAAAATATTTTCTATAAAGTCCATATATTACCAATTATATCACCTAAAGCTTTACATGAAATAATATTATTGGCATGATGTTTATATGCTAGGCAATAAATAGTCATATTTTGCATGCATTCTTACATGAAGCAAGTTGCTTTATAAATTTGCTCTTCTAGGTTATCCTGGAGCTGGTCACTTGGAATCCTTTTGCATTTTGTTTTCTTCAAGGGAAGATTACATATTAATATCTCAAGCCTATAAGCAGAGCATTGTGAAATTCTGAGTTGATGATTAAAATAAATCATCTGCGACTAATGACATTAAAATATACGTTTTCCTTTTTCTCTCATTCACTTTAAACTTCTTAGAAAATTGATGTACATCAAACAGCCTTCATGAGGATGTAGTTCCTTCAAAGGAAAATCCAGTTGCAAAGCCAAACAGATCACACGTTCCTGTGAAAACTATTGCTTCTTTTCCTGTTAAGGTACTATAAACTCAGTCTGAGGACGAGAACTCTCTCTCTAGTAACTGTCTTATTCTGCCCACATATTGATCCCCTTAGAGGGTGGTTGTATTCTTATCTCTTGAAGATCTCTTAATTCAGATAAATGTCAAAACTACTGAAGAGAAATTTCAACCTTTTTTGGTGACCCTTAAATAGAGTTATTTATGCCTATTTGTCACTTTCAGTTAATTTGGTTTTCCTGGTGGGCTGCATTCCATGGGATTGCAAAGAGTCGTACATAACTGAGCCGTTGAATGTGCACACGTGCATCCTTGGAAATGTTCAGCATATTTTTTTCAGACCTGTGTGTGTGCTCAGTTGCTCAGTCATGTCTGACTCTTGGCAACACTATAGACTGCAGCCCTCCAGGCTCCTCTGTCCATGGGATTTCCCAGGCAAGAATACTGGAGTGCGTTGCCATTTCCTGCTCCAGGGGATCTTCCCTACCCAGGGATCGAACCCCCCAAGTCTCCTGCGTTGGCAGGTGGATTCTTTACCACGGAGCCACCTGGGAAGGACCCTGCGTCTATAGCTATGATTGATTTAAGCCATCTCAGATTTTTTTCAGAGCAGAGATTGATACTGGAATGTGCCTTTCAAGACACATGAAGTGAGGGGTATTTAAGTGTAAGTATTTGAGAGAGATACCAGGGTATGTGACAGAGAGACCTTCAGAAAATAATGCCCACAAGTAATAAGATAGTACAGCCTTACCTCTTTAGTCATTTTTTCCTTACTTGTGGCAGTGATTTTTTTTTTCTTTTTACCAAGTATTCTTTGTCAGGAAACTGTCAGTTTTAAGGTTTTTTTCCCTCCCTAAAAGTGAGGTAGATTAACTCAGCCTCGAATTCCCACAGTCTCATAAAGTCCTTCAGAAGGAGTGCTCACCTTGTTTCTGGCTGGCATCATTTGAACTTTCATTTATTTATTTTTGACTGTGCTGGGTCTTCGTTGCTGCATGAGCTCTTATCTAGTTGTGTGACCAGGGGCTTCTCTCCAGCTGCAGCGGGCAGGCTCTCCATCGCAGTGGCTCCTCTTGTTGCAGAACTCGGGCTTCAGTACTTGTGGCGTGGGCTTAGAGCTGGGCCCAACAGTTGTGGTGCCTAGGCTTAGGTGGTCTGCA